TTGCTTCAACTTGAAGAAACCTCTCTAATGGCAATGTATCTCTCTCTCTCCTCTGACTTGACTCAAGTTTCACCAACCTTTAACACTCCTCATGGCATTCTTTAAATAACAATTGTTGGATGCCTCTAGATTCATCTAGAAGGATCTAGAAAAGTCATGAACTTCTCCTTGAATGAGACTTTGAAAATCTCATATCCCTTGCTTCAAGCCTTCAATTCTATGCCAAATTGTCCTTACATGAGTTATTGAGTGATAAGGAATGCAAATCAGCCTTTAGTTTCACTTGTGTAGGGTTTTTCAATGTTACCTTCTTTTGCAAGCAACAAATTTCCAAAGGAACCTCATTTTTTAAGCCTCAAATGAAAATTCTACTTAAACCAATGTTCTTAAAATGGTTTTTCCAATCAAAATGATATATTGGATGACCTATTTTGGATTTGTGGATCTCCCAAATCACTTTTCAATTTCAACTTTTCAAAGTTATAAGCCTTTTTTAGTTCATTTTTGACCAATCATGTAATCTTGTGCTATGAGCTTTTCCAACAATTTGTGACCTTCTTTCTAGACTTAAAATCACATTTTGAGCAACTTTCATGTTTTGAGTTTTTCCATTTGAGGCTTGGAAATAGGAGTTTTAGGCATTGGCTAAAATGACCTATAACTGACAAATGACCAAAATACCCCTGCCTTGTTCAAACCATAAGTTGAGTTCCACAAATCCAATCAAGGACTTCTACCACTCAAATTAAAGATAAGAAGGTCCTCTTCAACATTCATGTTGACCAAGAAACCATAGGAATCATCCTACTAGGGCAAAAGTTGTCTGCAAGTTGGGTGACTTTCAAGGACCCAGATTCACATACCTCTGCTGACTTGTAATTTGTCAAAACCATAACTTGAGCTCTGTAACTCCTATCAAGGACTTCCACCACTCAAATTAAAGCTTAGAACAAGCTCTACAACATTCATGTTGTGGGGAAGATGAGATATCAATCACATCTTGAGCTAAAACTGCCTGGAAAATAGGGATCAAATTAGGGTTTTCTCACTGACAATCCTTGGAAACCCTAACTCAAAACTTCTCAAACTCCTCAATCATGGTGAGTTGGTCTAGGAATCATCTTTATAACATCTCTATGTATCATTCCATGATCTCATGGCCCTTGGATTAGGTCTCAACCTTCTCCAAATCTTCAGCTGATCTAGGGTTGACTCAGTCAAAACCCTAATTCTACCATTCATGGTTGAATCTTCTGAATTCTTGCATAATGACCTCTCTGGGCTTCATGATGGCTTTCAAGACATCTCCTAGGCTTTCTCAAAACATCAAGTTCATTCTCAAAGTCTCAGAATCATCTGAGGAGCACTCACAACTCTCAAGTTAGGAGGCACACAACCCTGGTTTCAACCAATTCCTCTGAGGATCTCTTGAACTTTCTGATGAAGGTATCAACTTTCAAACACTCAATGAATGAATAATTGTTGGTCAAATTTTGGGGTGCAACAATGGGGAGTATCGTTATTCATGATTTTCTATGTATGCCTTTAGATGTGTTTATGGTTGGTTTGTGATTTAAGGTATTTTGGGTTGGTTATGGGAAAATAGGGAATTTGATGATAAGTCTTTGAGGTTAGGGGTAATGGTATGTAACACTGAATATTGATATGAGAAGGGAAACCTTAGACCTTCGTGGCCAAAACCTTGGATTGTGATATGTTTGACCCTGTAGGAATAGGAATATTCAATGTGAGTAACTCTGATGCACTCAGAGCAATTGCAGGAAAATAGTGTTTTAGGTAGTGCAAATGTTGCCAGATTGGCCTAATAAACCATAGATTTTGTGTCTTTATCGACGTAAGACCTTAGGGATGATTTAGGACCTTAGGGATGATTTAGGGATGTTTTGGAGGCATTGGGGAAGTGAATCGTGTGGACTTTTGGGTTGATTTAGGTTCCGGAGCGTAATAGCGTTTTGCTGTCCGTCACGACTGTTCATGTTTTCGGTCGAAATCGTTTTGGACGTAACTTTTGATCCGTAAGTCCGTTTTGACTCCCGTTCGAAGCGTTGGAAAGATAATAAACAAGGTTGTAACATAGTATAGATAAGGGAATTGGTTTCCCAATATTTTTATATCTAATTATGTTTGAGAAGTCAATTGTGTATATGTTCTATTAATGAATCATGTTTTGGTTCAGTGATGTCTTGACGTTTTGATGCTGCGATTTTCCTGATGAATTACCATGAGGGTAACTGTGATAATATGATGAATTAACATGAGTAGGACTATGAATTTTATGTGATTAATAGGCGATAGTATGAGAATTACCGTGAGTATAATATGATGAATTAATATGAGTATGACAGTGAGGTTGCGTGAGTAATAAGTGTTAGTATGAGAATTACCGCGAGTGTAATTATGATGAATTAATATGAGGCAATGTGAGATGATACTAGGGATTAATATGTAAATACTATGTGATGATATGACGAATTAACATGAGTAGAACTGTGAAGTTCATGTGATTGATAGGCGATAGTGTGAGGATTACCGTGAGTATAATTTGATAAATTAATATGAGATGATATGGGGTAGTATTATGAATTGATATGGGATAATATGACTATGAGCTAATATGTGATTTATACGTGATTATATGATGGCATGATGTGTGAGATTAATTACTATGATGAACTATGATGATATGTTTTATGATGAGTAATATGATGAATTATGATGATATGCTGTATGATGATTAATGTGATGAGATATGATGATATGTTGTATAATGATGATTACTGTGATGAGATAAGATAACATGATGTATGATGATGATTGTTACGATGAGTTATGATGACATGATTTATGATGATGAATATGACGATGAGATATGTCGTGTAATGATGATGAATATGATGAATGATGATGCACCATATGTTGTTATTATGAGGACTATTGTGCAGTGTGCATCATGCATTCATGTGCATCCGGACTTCGGTTCAAGACCTCGATTACTTTTGCTTCAATCCCACTGTGTGGATGTGAAGTATTTGGATGTGCTCCGGTCCTATTGATGGGGATCTATGGAGGGTTGATGCCTGGTGTCCATCGCGCTGTGATGATTGGTACCACATGCATTGAGTCTATGTTGCATTTGCATTTATGAGCCTTTGTGTATAAATTATGACGTTGTGGCCTTTGAGGCATATTTGAAGGATATCAATGTGTTGAATATAACTATGAGTAATATGTCGTTTATGCATTAATTGTTATACATTGATTATTATGAACTGTCTTACTCACCCTGCCTGTTTGAATGTTACTTCCACGTGGGTAACGTGCAGATGAGCAAGTCTAGCCGTGGACGTCGTCGGGGAGTATTGTGAAGTTTAGAGTCGTTAGCCTTTATGGTTAATGTAGAGGGTCTTGCTCTGATATGTAACATCGGGTTGAGTTCTTTGAGTTGATTGTATATCATTTGGTTATTTTACTGATGTTCCCTTATGAGGAAAATATTGAGTTATGTTTTGAGTTCCGTTGTATGTGATGTTTTGATGTATGTTGAGAAAATCTGTGTGTTACGGAGTATTGACCAACTTTGTTGACTTTGAGAAATGTACACCCTTTTGTGGCTTTTTAATGAAAGTTAATATTTTACTCTGAAATCTGTGTTATTTTGCCGTAATATCTGTGGGGTAGAACAAGGGTGTTACATTATTCACTAATACATTAAGTTGAAATGCGTCCATAGCTTTTGGACCTTATTCACTAATGCATTAAGTTGAAATGCGTCCAGCGATATATCTTAAAAATCGAAAAATTATATTGTATTTTCACAAAGGATTGGTAGTAATTCATAGATGCATTAAAGATTTCCTTTATTTTTTTTAGCATGCCAAAATAAAAAGGTTTAAAGCCCCATTGGAGCCAATTAGTTTTTTTTTGCTTGATTTTGGCTTTTGCATTACTTAACATATTGAAGCTTTCCAATTTAGTTCAATAAACTGATATGTTTTCATATCATGGCTATGCTAATCAGCTATAATTCATATAAGTATTTTCCAATTTTATTTAGCAAATTGAGATACTTTAAATGAAAAAAATGTACTAAGTTTACAAAGATTGGTAGTGAAATTGGAGGGCTCATTGTTAACCATTTGACTCAGCTTTAATAAATGTGGAGATTAACTAATATAAATATAAATATGAATATAAAAATATTCTTCAAATGACTTAAGAATACTTTGTTTAAAATTTTAATTGCTTAGTTCAATTATTTGAAGGAGAGGAGAGCAAAAATCATCTTGGACTAATTGCAACTTCCCCTTATTCCCTCCCTTTACCTCCCCTATGGTAAAATGTCTCTCCTCTCGCTTACAATCGTCCCTGACTCTCGAACATCACAACCGAGTGTTCGCATCATCACTGACTTGAACGTCAGGGTTCGGAGATACCTCCACCTCCAGACCGAAGCCAAAGAACTTCAAGGCCTTCAAAGGAATTCACTAACAGATCACTTCCTTTGTGTGAACCAGAAAGATCCAAACCGGATTACAAAGCTAGGGAAAACCATTGCAGTTACAAATATCCTAAATCACCAATACATGTCATGAATCACAAACTGCACGGTTAAAAAATTTACATGTTTATAAATGTGGACTAGGGAAACAAGATTGCCATAGTTATATTACATGTAGACTAAATAAATCTATAAATACTACATAGAAGTTAAGATATCCAATCTAAATAAATAGTCAGGAAAAGCAAGTACTCTAAAAACTTCTACATCTATAGCATTAAACTCAAGAAATTTACACATGTTTGTGGTCTTGGTTTTGGTTTTCGGTTGCATTGCGACCCTCGTACATGAGGATACACACAGCAGACAGTATCTGGATCGGTAAGTGCTCGGCATTTTCTTAAGTTACACCTAGTTCTTGTGATGGCCAGCAACCTAAAATATATATGTATAAAAAAAACTTGTCTTTGGCTGAAATGGATCATCTTTGGGGTTCATCAGAAGAAGCACCAACTGAAGAAACTACCATATTGCTTGATGATCCATTCTCATTGGGTGGAGGCACACCCCACTTGCCTTCAGATTCAAGGGGCTCAAACACATGAACTACACCATCTGACAGTCCAACAGCAAACTGATTTGGTTCTTGTGGATGTGCAGCGATTACAAGCGGTTGAACGTTAGAACTGCGACATAAAACGGCATGGTTAATATTCAACAAGAATTGTTGTATATTTTTAATAACTTGATATAAGTATATCATGCAATTTTTAAGTGCAACAAAACATCTGATAAGCAAGGCATTACCTGATATTTGCAGAAAGATAAGCAGAAGGATTGATACGACATCGCAATCGAAGGTTTGAAGCACTAAATACACAGATTGTTGCATCTAAAAAGCTGGCAAACACTAGCTGGCTATCACATGAGAAAGTTGCATGTGATATTGGTGCAGCAGAATCTCTTGGGAACCACTACAATCCAAGCATCAGACATCAGACAAAAAGATAGATAAATAACTTGCAGCTAACATAAAACTGAACTTAAATGAACCGAACCAACCTGCTTTAAGCATTCTAGTTTTGTTGCCTCATAAATGGCAAGCTGAGTTTCATGTACCACCAAGAAGCGGAACTGATCCTGATGAAATTGAACACGTGTATCTGCCTGTGCTGGTGGAGTTCTCCCGGCCAGAAATTGCAAGAATCTATTCTTCTGCTTCTCCCATCCATCAGTATTCCATACACAAATCTGCACAATAATAATAGATTACTAAAGCAATTTGCATTGCCAGCAGCATGTTTCAAAGGGGTTATTAGTTAATGAAAACTAGTTGAAGGTTAAAAACTAGATCATTTGATGCAATTTAGTACCAGAGACAAATATACACTTGACAATTATTACCTGAGCATCTGCACCAGATGAAACTAGTACGTTCAGTACATGAGAAAATGCAAGACCGGTTATTCTTTTAGTATGGCCATTGAGTTTACTTTTAACCTGCAAAGAAAAAAAATCATGTATTAACACATAATTACCTAAATAACAAGCAGGAAATATCCATTTACAGCAACAGTACCTCATCTACGCGGACATTATATATCTGAATGGAAGAATCGTCCATGCCTATAGCAATAATGTTGTTATCTTGCGGATGGAAAGCCAGAAATGTTGCTGCAGGTGGCGGTGGCATGAACGTTGTCATTGTCTGCATTAGCACCAAAAAGATTGAAATTGATTAGTTACAACTTACAAACCAAATTCATACTTGAATAGTGAATGACGCTAATAGCTTACCTTAAAAGTCATCATATTGAACAGAGATATCTTTCCGCCTGATGCTGACATTACGTAAGAATCATTTTTGGAAAGAGCAAAACATGGAACTGCATCCTCAGTATTGTTATCATTAATGTCATTAGTCATCAGGATGCCACTTGAAGGATGCCACAACTGAGGTGGCACACTAGCAGTGGCCTGCAGGAATATTGTATAAACATCAGAGAACAATACTGTTTCTATTTCATTTTTGTGATTATCAAACTGTAGAAGTGACACAAGTAAAATCACATATTATCACACCTTGCCAGATGAATTACGCTCATTCCGTTGCCATTTCCAAAGAAGATGAATGGCATTTGAAGCTAATGCCAGAATAGCATTGCCTGAATTAGTATATATCAACCTCGATATCTGTCATAGCAAGGATGGAGATAATCAGGATAGACACATACCGAGCAGTTACAATAATTAAAGGCATAGAAACAAGGAGATATACACATATATATTACTTCTTTTTGTTGTCCAATTAAGTCTCAGTTTGTTGAGTTCTTTCAGATAAAAATGCAGTGGAAAGTATGTTTGATATAAATAGTCGTGTGAATCTTCAAAATGAGTTAAATTATAAATTAATAAGTAAATAGCATACCTTGGTTACTCTTGCATTTTCAGGTAGCTTCAAGGATCTACAATGAGATGGTTCTTTGATTTCAGTGAGCTTCCATATCTTTGACTTGTCATTGGATTCTTCACTTATTCTAGGTTTAATATCACCCAAACTCCGAGCATCCCCGTTCTAATGAGTTGAAAATGACATTAGTTAATTGAACATGATGTCATGGTGATAACAGCTAAAAAAACAATTATATTAAATACATTATAGCAATCACAGTGAGAAGTTCATTCAATCCTTTTCTCTAAGATACACCATCTAACAACTAAATTGCATAATGATACACAATAAAAAATATTAAGAGAGAAAACGCCAAGAGTAACATTCAAGTAAATAACAAATCCTTATGATAAAAATGGAAGATAAACAAACCATTCCAGCAATAGCTGCCACGGATGAAGCTCTCTCTGTAAGTGCAGCACTAGTTGCAGCAGTAGCAACTGACATTGGGTTTATTGTAGGCTGCCACATATAAGATACGTCAGAATAGGTTTTTATACATTAGAGTCAAGGAAAAGATCTATATAAGTCTACCTTTGTCATGGCTTCTGATGTTCTTGATGCATCATATAAAGAATTTTCTAATGAGCGCAATAATCGAATACCATCTCCATTGGCTAAGATTTTAATTCCATTATCATTTGCAGAGACGGCTAAAAGAGATCCATCCTTATTGAAACGGATACGAGGGCTTGCCTAGAATTCAGACAAGGGACTAATCATCAACCGCTATTTTCAGAGACTGGATTTTAAATTTGCAAGAAAATAATAAACTTACAGGAAGACCCCCTTCAGCATCAACAGTTGTCAAAAGCTGAATATTATCCATCTCCCAAAATTTAATGGAGAAATCATCACCAGCCGCCAGATACCTATTTTTGGTTGTATCAAATTGTACAACACCCAAAGATCGTTTCCGAAATCCTTGGTAAGTTCTTTTCACAGCTCCTTCACTTTCATTCCACTCAACAATAGAGGATTCCCCGTCCTTGCTAGTCCCACAAGAAAAGAGTCTATAATATATTCAATGAAAAATGTTAGAATAGTAAGTAATCAAAATAGATATTATAAATAGCAATAAAATAAGATTAAGAAGAAAAGTAGTCATGGTTCAGTATACAAACCTTGTACCATCAGCACTATAAGCCATGGTTGTACACCACCGACCAGGAGCGTCATAGTCAACACGAGATCCCAAATTGTCATATAACCATGCTTTTATTTTTCCATCTAATGCCGTTGAAAAGATGAACTAAAACAATGAAGAACAGATAATATTAGCAAGAAAGCCAAGTATAAACATATTCAGAGTATTTAATTTGGCGCACTCAACTAACAGCTAAATGAATGAAGCTCAGCATTTTCCGAAAACATACTAATAGAGCTATTGGAATCCTTCCAGCATTATTTCATTAAAAGTAACAAAAACAACTTCTACCTGAATGTTTTCTTTATAATGTGGGCAGACAGAATAAACAGGAGCCTCATGACCTTCGAAAGTGTACTGCTTTATACCCGTAGCAGCATCCCACACCTTAGTTACATTACATGACTTAGTTAGCAACATAGGCATCTCGAGTTCAGAAAAACAAGCTAGTTCATTGATAAAGCTACCTTAATGGTCTTATCATCACCGCAGGTGATCACACACAGCTGCTTATTTGGGTGAGAAAATGCTAGATCGTTTACTCCGCCGACATGAGCGTCAATCTAGAAATGGAGTTTGTGGTTAAGCAATTACAAGGATGCATAAATAAAAACTAAAGTAAGCAATTACACCATACGTATGTGTACATACCTCCAAGTGTTGTCGTACTTCCTCCCCACCAAGGTAAGAGTATATCTGAACAATGTGTCTTGAGTAGGCTACTCCTGTTTATCAAACAAGCTCGTACATTAGAAGTCTATTAAGTTGACTTCTTAAAACTTATATATTATTCTAGTAAAGAAAACATATTTTTAATAGATTTACGTATTAAACTTCATGAATTTAAAAGCACTAAACTTACCAAACAAAGCTCCATCTGGACTCCAAGTCACGCGATTGACAGAAACAGCTGGATCTTTGACAAGAGCCGCCTGAAATGATCATGCCACAATTATTTTTATTCAGTCGGTGCAGAATTACATAAGTGAGGGTTTGGTACAATTGTTCATCAAATAGATCAATAGACAGAGCCAAGAAAGAACAACCTGAAATGGCATTGAACAAGCACTCAGATCCCAAACTTTGAAGTTCCTCAAGACCAACCGCTCCCTAGAGCCCAATTCCCATAAACCAATGTCTGCCACATTCGTACCAACTGGCACATTTCATCAAGATAAAAAAAACTCAGTCAATTACCAATATAAATGGTAAATAAATGCAATGAAACAGTCAACAGCACAACTAAAAGGGATTGGAAGAGAAGCTGACCAAGAAGTAAAGTCTGTTGAACTGGATGAAAGTCCATACTCATAGGAGATGAGCCTTGATTTAGAGTTCGCATGACAGTCTTTGGCAAGTCCTCGGGTGAATTAAAAGTCTGACCGTGACCGTGACCATGCCCGGGAAACGTCGCCGACAAAACATTAACAGGTAGGTTTCCCTGCACAAAATGATGCAACATCGTAAGCAGAAAAGTAATAAGTAAAAACTCGCATGGGCATGATTTGCAAAGATCATGCATGATATTTGCATAAATGATATGCAAGATTACCTCATCGGACATTCCTATTGGTCTTGTTCTCTTAGAAACATGATCTGAATCCGCGGATGGGTAGTCAACAGAAGGATTAGTTGGAGGTGTCCTAGGGTGCTTCAAAGCAGCTTAAGAAAGCAATAAAATGATATTCATTAAATTAAATATTATATGCAGTAAACATAGCCTCCAAAATCATAGCACCACTAGACATGAAGAGCTAGAGATAACAGAAAGCAAAAGAATAGGAATACCGGGCATTGATGGTGCGCCAACACCAAGACCTATAGCTCCCCCTGCAGAAACTGAAGCATGTGCCACAGTAGTAGGATTTGACATCCAACCAGCCAGGGGCATCGGCACAGGTGCTGGAGTTGGTTGAAACGGCTGAACAGATGACCAGAGAACAAATATCTCAACACCAAAATAAAAATCAAAAGTGATATACTATGCAATTATTATTAAACCAAAGCAGTGTAGTAGCCTACCCCATGTGCACCAAGAGGAGGAAATCCTCCAACCTTTGGTAAGGATCCTAGTAGCGGCATATTAGCAGGTGATGGAGCCCGTGCACCATTTGGTTGTCCACAAGTGTGATCCACAAAAAGAGTTTTTATATCTGGATTTGGCCGTGGATTCTTACAAAGTTGATGTTGCCAATTCAAGCTGTCATTTGATTTCAAAATGAAAAAGGAAATCAGTCATTCGATAATATATAATAACACATTTTTATGATGTAACTTCACTTTTATAACTCTAAATATTACAACACATTTACATGATAAAAATTCTAAAATTGAAGTTACAACAGAAGGCAAACTGGTTGAACGAGTCCTATCGCCAATGCAAATAGAATTGGAGTTCAGGCAGTTGAATAAAAATAACACAAAACTAGTTTGTAGTATGATCGCCATCAATTAAAATGTCAAAAGCAATGTCTTGGCCTTAGTGTACAAGAAAGCTATTACATACAAAGAACAAATTCGTGTTCTATATTGGTTTACAAGTCAGTATCTCATACATAAGAATATATTACCTTTGATTGATGAGAGTCCGCAATCTTGAGTTCTTAAGATTGGGAAATTGCAATTTATCACGAAATAAGGGATTTGCCTCAATCAATTTTTTGAGCTCAACCAACATGATTGCTCTCGCAGACTTCGTATCACCATATTTGGACAATTGTTCATTTTCCCTATAATACAGTAAGAAACAGATTATGTTTAGTTTAACACTAAGTGCGTGTTTGGTAAATCATCAAGTTAGACAAAATTGCTTTAAAAAGTCACCAGCATGTTTAGTTTAACACTGTTCCAAACACATACTAAAAATATGAAAAAAATTATATCCTTACCTAAAATTCTCCAATGTCAAAAGCTGAGTGATTTCCTTGAACAATTCTTCATTAAAAGTAGCAAAGACTTTCAAATCCTTCACTAATATTTCCACACCCTTGGACCGATCATGCCTACCAAAAATCAAACCAAAACCGGTTAGGTTCCATACCTACACCAAAATGATTGTTACCATGAAAGTGAAGTCGTAGTGAGCTTACTTGTCTAATGCTTCCAAATACTTCTGCTTCCTTATCTCGAAAAATATCTTCATAGAATATCTATTATCATCGACTTTAGTGAAACCCGAGAGGTATCTCTCAACCTCATCCCAATTCCCACTATGCACTTCATCTTCAAAATACTTCATGTTAAAGAAGAACCCGGATTCTTGTTCAAGCCTATTATTTTCAAAAATTGAAAAGACACATAATCAATTAATGTGCTAAAAATAAACAGATACTAAATAGTAATAGTATAACCTAATCATAATCATAATCAGAATAATTTATACTAAAACACTGAAATGGAAGAAAAGTCTCACTTGTGAACTGTCTCTTTAAACTTTTCCTCATCCAGAAACTGCAAGATCAAGAACACCAACTCCCTGCTGAGAGACGACATAGCAACCGCAACCCCTTTGTCTTGGATCAGATGAAAACCAAAATGAGCAAAGGTTAAACTAGATCTGCGGAAAACAATGAAATTACATAACTAGCCTCAGCCCAACAAAACATCTAAGGAACAAAAACCCTTCCTTAACATCAAAAATTCCAACAAAAAAGCATGCATCATGCGAGAAAGACAATGAAACAAAGCTTTAATTTAGAAAATACCTAAAAAATGAAGAAAAAATACCCAAAAAAACCGAGAAATTAATTAAGTGTAATCGATGATGAAAGGTAGAGAAAAAAAAAAGTAACTTTAATCTCTTAAGGGAATCCAAGATGCAAAATAGGGAGAAAAAAAGAAAGTGTTATTAAAAAGTCGAAATTAAAATACGTAAAAAAAGGTTGAAACTTTAAAGTAAGAGATTCGACAAAGAGAAAGAGAAATGGTTTCGAGAAGGTTCTCTCTCTCACCTTGAAAGCCAAAGCTCAGAGCTTCAAACATGGAGAACAGAAAACAACCACCACTTCAACAACACCGAGACTTTCTCTCTCCTTGAATTTCAATTCTCTTTCTCTCTCTAGATTTATATCTATATATCTATATATACATACAATACAATAGATGTATGAATTTATATTAGAAGATTATAAGTTGGTTGACTTATCTATAAGAAGATTAGGTTATTGAGATAAGTTATTAGATAGCTACAGTTAGTTATATGTTTCACAAGTGTAGTTAAATGTGGGGACCACTGAGCCATCTTCGTTTTGTTGTGAGAACCGGCTTGGAATGTGAGTTCGGCTTGGTGGAAAAAGTGGAAGATTGGTTAGATTCTTCTGCTGCCGTGTGTAGGATAGTAGTTTGAATTTAGCCGTTGGATGGTGAGGGTGGTGGTGGAATGACGGATCGAATGGGTGAGGGAGGAGAGTGCATGGGTTTGAGATGTAGGGGATAATAGTCGGAGAATGTGATTTTTACTGGATTCAGGAAAACAGAAACGACACAGTGGTTTTCTGAAGTGGGTGGTTTGTTTAGCCTTGGTTTTTGAGAGTATTACGGAGAGTGCCATCGAATGAGATAAGATAAATTGGAATGAAATGAGATGAATTGAATAAATCGCGATATATTGAAGTGAAGTGTTTGGAGTGTGTTATTGTCCTTGTCCCAGTCTTTGTCAGGTTAGAAGTGTGGGCACATTTCCCTATTTTCTCCTACGGAGCTATCAAATGCGCTATTTAGTACAATGCTTTTTTTCCTTTTTTTTTTATTTTAAATAAATAGTTTAAGTAAGTTGGATCTTAGAGATTCATCAAGATCAAGACCAACTTCAAAACTCACAGATTGTTTTTTAAAATATTTTTTTTATTATATAAAAAATGTCTCATTTCTTTTTTTTTATCATTTAAAATAAATATTTCTTTAATTATCAATATAATATTTATTATTATTTTTTATTATTATACATTTATTTATTTATTTTATAACTTTTAATTATTTCACTAATAATAATATTTAAAAGTATTTTAGTAAAAGCAGACGGAGCGACATGCAAGGAAATTAGGGGCCCACTATACATGTTATTTTTATATTAAAAACAGGTTTGATTAATCTTAAATAAAGATTATTATGTTATAGCGTAAGTATAAGACAATTTTTAACATCACTTAGTATTGTTTGTAGTTATATTTAATTATCTAATAATAATAATAATAATAATAATAATAATAATAATAATAATAATAATAATAATAATAATAATATATTATTATTATTATTATATTATATTAAAATTTAAAAAATTAAAATGATAGCAGTTATCGATAAAGTTTAAAATTTTCATATTGTTGTGAGGGTTATATTTAAAGTTTTTTAAAGCTCAATTGTTGACAATTTTTGGGAGTATAAATATCATCAAAAATTAATGTGGAATTTTCTTTCAAAATACTATATTTTTACTTTTTCAATATCAAAATAATTATAACTTTTTAATATTTAATATAATATGTTTTTATTAACATATTTTTATTTATTGAATTTTACTTTACCTATGTTAATTGTAATTAAAAATATAATTTAATAAATGATATTAGTTTTATTATTAAATAAATATAATTATTTTATTAAAAAATGATATAAAACTTAAATGTAATATTTAAAATTAAACAGAAAAAAATATTTATATAAATTGTCACCACTATTTGTTCTAACTTCGTCACTGAATAAAAGATACTCTTTTCGGTCACTATTATAAGCAAAAAAAAAATAATTTTAAATTTTGATTATTATTATTATAAACAAAAGTCATTAATGTTTAAAGTAATTAATGTTTGTATTACTAGTATATCCTTAATTTAATTCAATAGCATTTAATATTGATAGTTGATTCATCAAACATAATTAAAAATGTTATCCTAAATTTTACTCTATATAAAACTGAGAAAATTAATTACATTTGACTATTTTTTTAATTAGTGTAAAAATAATTATTTTTGTTTATACTTTTGTAACCGGATAAAGTATTAAATAGATCTTTATATTGGTATGGGAGTTAAATTTATCTGTGAGCCAACTCCTTAAATTAATAATAATTTGTGTAATTTAAGTATTGGTATTTGATACTAATATTTATTTGTTCAAAGAATACTCTCTCAATATTTTTTTTATATTTAGTTAATTAATTCACATGAATAAATACAAAATTATATCTAAATGAGGAAGAGAAAACTAATAACATATTATTTGTTCAAAGAATACTCTCTCAATATTTTTTTTCTATTTAGTTAATTAATTCACATGAATAAATACAAAATTATATTTAAATGAGGAAGAGAAAACTAATAACATTTTTATTAAAGTAGTTTTATCATATGCTGATATATTTAAATTTTTCATAAATGCATAAATGCATGGGAGATATTGAGTTAGTTACCAAATTTATCATAAATATTTGGATAAAAGAAAAGTAAGAGAAATATTTATATATTAAAGTCTAGTTAATTCAGCTCATTGATTGCGATTTTGAAGAGGCACATTCCATATATTTATATTTTACAGATGAAATTTTGATTATTAAATTATTATTTCTAAAAAATATTTATAAATGTAATTTTATTTATTTTAGACCATGTATATAGTCTAATCACTTTGTAGTGCCGCTTTTTTGTATTAGTTTCAAAAAATATTATAATCAATATATTTGATATAACTTAATTAAATATTTATGTAAAAATATATAGGTTAAATTTTGAATAAAAGGGTTTTGGTTATGTCTGCTAGGGTTTGTTGTAAGCACGACTACGGCTCTAATGACCGGAGTAAAACGGGGTGTCGGTCAGCCGAAAAAGCAGGTGGTGATACCCTAGAAGGCGGCAGAATGAACCAATGCATCGCAGGCCAATAGTGAACGAGAGAAACCTACAGTCGTTACACCTAAAACACATGAAATCACATTGCACGTAGGAGAAATCAAAAATCATGAAACTTTTATGCCTGATATAATAGATGTGACAAACACAACAATGGAGGATGAACCGAAAATAACTGCTACTAAAAAACAAGGTACAATTAATATGATACCCTGGGTGGAAATTATTAAAGGTAACAGAAGTGTCGATCAATGGATGGCAATCGAAATTGTAGCTCCTACAACAGTAAATGGTGAAGTTGAAATTGTTATTGATGAATCGGACGTTGTTGCGGATCTAGAATATTGGGATAATGCATCGGTACTATTTGCCTTAGGGAACACACTTTCAATTAATATTGTGAAAAGATTCATGGAAAGCACGTAGAACTTTGTACCCTTACCTGAGTTATATTACAATGATGCAAGCTACTTTGTTGTGAGATTCAAGAGCAATGAGGAAAAAGAACAAGTCATGGCACATGGACCATATTTCATCTATGGTAAACCATTATTCATTCGTCACTAGTCTCCTCAATTTTAGATAAAAGATGACTTGCTCAGAGTATTCCCTTTGTGGGTTACACTACCAAAATTGCCTCTACATCTATGGGAAAAAAACCATATCCAAAATTGCAAGTGTCATTGGTAAACCCATAACTACATACGAATGCACAACAAATAAGCTAAGAATTTCATACGCATGTTGTTAGCTCCTAAATTCGACGCCTCATGCAAAAGAAAGGAATTCAAGATGAAAATGCCAAGAATAAGTTAAGAACGAAAGTTGGTCGAAAGGTGTAAGGCAGCTAAAGAAGGAGTCGAAGAACACACCCAGAAGCTAGGTGTTCGACCGCTTGCTGTTGTGGATAGTTCGTCGAAAGGTTTGAAATTTGAAAGTTTTGGAGGGAACGGTTTTGTTTGCCAAATACTCAAGAAGACACGTGGCACCTTATGAATAGTAGATCCATGCATTGTGACAAGTGGCGAGAGGAAGTGATGTTGGAGGTTATTAGAAGTTATTTTTTATTACTATAAATAGGATGTCTTAGACATAAGCAAAGTGTGTTGTAATTTACCATTGTACAAATTACTCTTAGAATTACTCCAAGTATTCGAGCGTAGAGAAAACGAGTATTATAGAGAATGTACGTGATGTAAACACACCATCTTTTATCTTAATGAAATCTACTTTACTTGCTTTAAAATTTACAAAGTTATTTATTGTCTTTGCACCCTTCTTCCTTACTTTCTTTCTCCTCTTTTTCTATACAATTCTTTTCTCTTCGCCCTTAACCCAATTCCCTTCTCTAAACAAACTTCTTTTTTTCTTTTATTGAAAGCTTTATTTTATCTTTTAAGTTATTCTGTAGTCGAATAGATGTTTCTTACCCCAATATTGTTTAAGTGTGAAACTTAGATAGATTTCCAAAACAAAAAGCTTTTAGCACATGTCCTAGTATCAATCTGATCGATCCTGTGAGTCACCAAAGTTAGATTTGGAAGATCAGCGGTTGTTTTCTGATTTTTCAAGGGAAACAAAATGGCACGCCCAGTGGGACAGTGCTAAAAAGTTTGTTTTTTTTTTACAAAACCAACTTACAAGAAATTTTGTAGTCGTGTTGGTCCTTTTCGTGAGAAGTACATTTTATGTTACTGAGAAGTGGTAAAGTTACCACTGTAAATGAAGAAAGATGACCAAGACGAAACATTAGGAACATGGCTACATATATGAACCAACCAGATAACCCCAACCGTCAGAGAGACGTTTCCAGCGAGGGAATAAGAGACGATGGGGTTCCCCCTCCGATACCGTCGACTGGAGAACAAACGGTGCTTCCGGTAAGGCCAGTGCCGACACCCTCCGTACTTGGGGCTGGATCAACGGTGATAAGACCTTATACTCAACCAGTGTTAGAATATATTAGCCATCAAACGTCGAATCCTCAAATTTTTTTAGGGGGAAGTCCGACTTCCAGGCAGTTCGATCCCCCTGGTTTTTCACAGTCACCAAGAAATCCCCCATATGGGATGCCCACCGCTATGATGCAGGGGATCTAAAGTGCACCCCCTATATTCTCAGATCAGGCAATGGCTT